TGAAATCACTGTAATTCACCCAGGTACAAGGAAATTGATGCAACTCGATGTTCTCTTGGATAGTGGAGCCGAATCATCGTTCATCAATAAATCCCTAGCGGAAGAACTTTCTCTCCCAGTCATCAAGGAGGAGCTCATGAGGATACATACCTTTGGCTCCGAAGAAACCCGTCAAAGGTTTTGCAAGCTGGTCGAGTTGGAAGCTTGGGATAAGGGAGGATGCTTACACTCCTTGTGTCTCTACACAAACGATGTGATCACTTCTCCTTTAACGAGTCCGCGTATACCAGAATCAGACATTGAAACTATACAAAATCTGAACATCCCAATCCAAAATCTCAATATCAATAAACGAAACTCCAAGCCAGCAATACTTCTCCGGTGCGACCAGATGTGGTCATTTATCCGCACAGACACCAAACGAATATCACTGCCTTCCGGATTAACTTTTCTCCCGTCGAAATTGGGCTACATTGTCTCCGGAAGAGTACAGACCACGCCCAATCAAAATCATCAACACATATCCCTGACTCCGCGGCTCAAGACGAAAGTATGAAGTGGAACAATTACTGGTCCATGGATATCCACGTGAACACCAACACTCCCTGCGACATAACAATATCGGAGCAAGAGCGAGAAATGTGGGAGAAATATTGGACTGCCGAGACAGAAGAGTTCACGGGATCCCAAGAACAAATTCGTGACGCAACAGACAGAACGGTCTGGGATAAACTCAATAACTCTATATAACAACACGATGACAGATACTACGTCCGTCTACCGTGGAGAGAAAATCATTCTTCTCTCCCGGTAAACTGCTCCTTGGCGTACCGTAGGGTCGTCAATGTTTGGACATCACTGAAAAGGGCAGCAGTTTTCTCGAACAATATCACAACGTCTTCCAAGAACAGCTTCAAAAAAGAATCGCAGCCAGTAAACAATAACACTGTACCTACTGGGGAAACAGTACACTACTTACCTCATCAGCCGGTATTGACACCAGAAGAGGACGACAAAACTGAGGATAGCCCTTGACGCCTCGGCGCACTATAAGGAATGTCCTTCGATCAATGATGTCCTACATAGGGGACCTGTCCTACTCCCAGTCTTATACGACCTACTGCTCAGATTTCGGACTGGAACAATAGCTCTCATCTCCGATGTTGAGAAAGCCTTCCTGCAAATACGTCTACACGAAGCTGACAGAGACACCACACGCTGTCTGTGGCTCAAGGACTTTAGAAAGCCCCGGACAAAAGCAATACCCAGATTCTCCGATTTACCCGTGTCATGTTTGGGCTGAAATCCTCCCCATTTCTCCTAGCAGGAACGACACAATACCATCTGAACAAATTCGTGGAGGATGCGCTGGCACAGGGAATTAAGGACAATATTTACGTCGATAATTTGATCCTGACATCGGATACACTTCAGGAGACAACTAAGCTCTACAGAACGGCCAAGCGGATCTTCATCGATCTTGGCATGAATCTGCGGGAGTTTACGTCAAACAATAGCACGGTGATGCAAACAATACAAGAGACACACAAGGCCGACACTCCACAACCGAACGTACTCGGACTCAAGCGGAATCCCCAAGCGGATACCCTACTTGCGACATGCTCTATACCGGAGGTTTTAACAGTCACCAAAAGAGCAATAACAAGTGCAATAGCGAGCGTCTATGATCCGTTGTGTTGGTTAGTACCCTTACTCCATAAAGCCCGAACATTTTTCCAGTTCTTTTGGAAGGAGAAACACGACTGGGACAGCACTATACCAGCAAACAGAGCAGCTGAATGGACACTAATTCGAGGCAATATTCAAGGGTTCACCTAGGAAATACCCCGTTTTCTCGCCTGTAAGAAGAGCACTGTGTCACTGGTGACTTTCGCTGATGCAAGTACAATTGGAATAGCAGCTTGTGCTTACCTCTATCATCCAATAAAAACTTCTTCTGTACTGCTCATGGCCAAATCAAAGCTTCCTTCACTACAAGGGCAAACAACAATACCAAAACTAGAACTCAACGCATTCACTTTGGCAATGCGTCTCAGCAACTCAATCGTAACGCAGTTGCAAAAAGTCCCCAATATTCAAGGAATTTACGTCTTCTCTTACTCTGAAGTCGTCCTCAACTGGATCAAGAAGGGCCCCCAGCGTGAAATGGATGTGTTCATAGATAATCGGCTGGAAGAAATACGACGAATCGCAAACCACATTATTGGCTACTAACGCTTTGTCAAGTACGGATATGTTGCATCCGAGGACAACCCTGCCGATTGTGGAACAAAGAGTCTGACATCAAAAGAACTCCCTAATCACTTCTGGTGGACTAGACCCTGGTTTTTGCAGAAAGACGAGACGGAATGGCCCGTAAAGAGCACATTATTTGAAGCTCCGCAAGACACCAAAGGAGAGGGAATTAGTATCCATCTCAGGAACCATGACTACCCCATCTTATCTACCGCACACGATACATCAATTCACGATGACTTCGAACTAATTCAGCGAGGCCACGTACAAAGGCTCACCAAAGCTAAACGGATAGTAGCGTACGCCATGCGGTTCATTGGAGTCATCGCTTCTCGCGCTAATAAAAACAACAACAATAGCAATATACCTCTATCACTGCTCAATAGCGAAATTATCAAAAATTCTGGACCCCTCACCGGCCAAGAAATCGAGATTGCTGGTAAGATGATAATCATGCACCATCAAAGGACGAGGATCACCAATTTCCTCAAACAGAAGCTACAATATCTCAATATTCGACCAGATGCCGGGGGCATTTTGCGATGCTATGGACGGCTGGGAAAAGCTCAACTACCCATAGCAGCTGAGTATCCCATATTCGTCTTACAGAAGACATTGCTTGCGGAAATTATCACCCAAGACATCCATAATAAATATCACCCAGGGACAAATCACACAATGTCTCTCGTGCGACAACAATGCTGGATCCCTCAGCTTCCTTTTCAAGTATATCGACTAATAAGAAAATGTCTTCAGTGCCAGAAACTGAACAATTTGCCATATCAATATCCTGCTCAAGAAAACCTAACGAAGGAAAGAGTAGTTAAATCTTCTCCTTTCGCCCACATCGGACTGGACAACTTTGGTCGCCTACCGATCAAGCAGCCGAATCGTGACAAAGGAAAGTGCTACGGCTCCATAATCACATGTATGGTCACGCGCCTACTGCACCTTGACATTGTTACCGACCCATCAACTGTAGCATTTTTGCAAATGTTACGTAGATTTTTCGCTTGACGATGAGTACCAAGAACAATAACAAGCGAAAACGCTCCCACGTTTCTATTGGGCGAAGCAATACTACGAGGAAGCTTCCCAACAGCTCTCACGGACCGAACGATAGCACTGAGTAATAGAGAGATTCGCTGGAAGCACATAACGCCGTTCGCTCTTTGGCAAGGAGGTTTTTATGAAAGACTTGTCAAATCCGTAAAGCACTCTCTCTACAAAACCCTCTGTGGATCTATAGTGACGATCGAAGTACTTTCAACAATAGTCATTGAGATCGAATCGATGTTCAATACTCGCCCCTTACCTACATCGGCAAGGACGTAAACCGACTCAAATCTTGCGCCCAATGGATTTTCTCCAGAAAAATATGGAAATCGTTTTTTCAACTTTGAGACGAGGAGAAGAAAGATGTGACGAATTTTACTTCCGTTTCAGCGAAATACCTTTGATAAAAACAAGGAATCAAGCAATAGCAGCTCTTGAAATTTCGTGCAAATTCACAGAGAATTTCTGGCAAATCTGGCAAGCTGAATATTTGACGAGTTTGCGGGAAAAACATGACTCGACGTTGGACCATAAAAAGGGTGCAGCAAGGAACCACGAGAAGGACAACTCGTACTAATCTGCGAGGCAATACTTCCACGTCATTCTTGGAAAACGGGAATCGTCGAAAAGCTCGTGATGAACAATCAAGAAATAA